AGCCAGGAGCCAGAGTATTCACTCTCTGAAGATGGATAGACGATATAACTATCCGAAGCGTCAGATAAAAAATAAACCTCTCCCGGTGAACGCTCCAACTCCTTCTGACTTACCACCTGGGAATCGAATTTTCGCTACTAGTACCAACAATAGCTTAATTAGCAAGAATTTTTTTGTCATTGATTTTCGTTAACCTTATATATTGAAATATAGTTTATAGGAAACATGCACGAAACTGTTCGTTTGTTTACTCATTCGGTCGCAGATTACGTCTTCTTTACATTTCATATTTAAGGAGAGGGTATCTTTCTGTTTAAAAGTGTTTGTAATTAAGAGATTTTCGAAGTCCCTGAGATATCTATACACGAAGCATCGTATCTCTTAATTTACTAGTGCCGCTTATAAAGTATACAGTATGGTCAATATCTGTTGCAAAACTTTACGAGCGCTTTGTCGTTTATTTTTGAGAGCCTAGAGTAATGTTTGAGTTTCCTTGATGGCGATGTATACAGAATAGTATAGTTTTAAATCCCTCAATACGGGTGTAACGGCTGGTCAGTTGCAGGATTATTGGGGCGATTTAAAATGTTTTTAAGCCAATGCGTGCATTTTAGTAAAGTACGCTCTGAAGTTAGTACAAAAATAATATTTTCATGTATTTTTTCCATAAAGTATATTTGAATTCGCAAGAGTAACCAAAATTAATGATAAAATCGAATATTAGCTACGTAGTCATTTTGTGCACTGCACAGATTTAGCAGGTGGTCGTGTCGAAGCTTCTTTGAAACTGACATCGAGACGTGACTGAACTATCATTGTATGAACTAACGTGATAATGTGGCCTATTGCTCGCAACGTTCAATTAAAATTACTCGGTCTAAGAATCTCAAATGCACTGGGCTGTCATATGTGTGAGTGCCATTTGCGTAAATTTTTCGCACCCACATAACTTGTCAACTTGTTTCAAGTGGTGCTGTGACGCGATATAATTCACTCAAGCTGCATTCCAGGATCGTTATTTTTTTCATAGTATCGTCTCGAGAATCCGTTTGGGTCGCGTGCAGTTGCACGTGTCCTTTGGGATTCCTCTCCACCATCATAGTTTGTAAAAAGGATGAAAGTTCGGTGCTTAGCATTCCACGCCTTGGGTTTATAAAAAGGCTCTGCGGTTGTTACTTTCATTTGCTTCATCTTTTGCGAAAAAATGCTTTTCATGATGACAATGTTTCCTCTTATTTCTCCTATTTTAGACCGCTTTAATCAGGGAGCTGTACGAACGCATTTACTTTGGCGGTTGTGAACCTTCCCTGCGAAAGGAGGTGCGTCTCATCCCGATTCGCTCTGCTTACTATTTGTTTCATTTATGGCAATTCTAATCCATTGCAGTCCTTTTCAAAGTTGAATGACTTCTGCTTTACACTATACCAAGACTATACTTGTGTGACACCTGGCATCTCTGATAAATTGAATTAAATCAATATATAGAGGGACAATGACTCAGTACGGACGTGCTCCTTGAAAAAAAAAACGAACTATGTCACCGTAGCTGTCAGAATACTTTGCTCCTCTTTCGGATCCATGCACCAGTTTATCCTCAAACTTGATCAAGAAGCAATCAAAAATCCGCGGCTCTTATATCACCCCATCGAAATCGAGTAATTCCTTGACTGAAAGCTAGATCACGTTATCTTGCAGTTAGCGAACAACTTCGACCCAAACTAACACTTCAGTCTGTCAGAGATTTAGTCCTCAAGCAGCCTTCTGACCTATCATGGTGTTGGTCCTTATTTCGGTGAGGATATAAATTTGTCCAGGGCTTCAGCGCGGACTTCCATTATCGAATCACCTCCAATTCAGGGAGTAGTCTAACGACCCATATTACGCAATTATAGGAGAAAATCTAGGCAACCAATCTCGGAAATGATGCCAAAATGCGCACTCGTGATCATTTTGTCTTTCCCTTACGTGGCTTCCATGGAAGATCTTACACTAGATCTTTTGACAATAAGACAAAGATCACGAGACTGGCAGAATTTATTGACGTCATACAATTTCGCGACCTCTTATTTCACTGCAAACGGTCATTTTCTATTAACGAGATGATTTAACTGTCCAATTAAGCATCGACCTAGAAGGGTGAACCTTGATAGGTGAATAGAGTAGGAGCTATTATTCTTAACTGTGGGTACATTGTGAGGGGTAGAGGAGGGGGGTAGGGTGTAGTTATCACAGCAAGACCGTTCATGTTACACTGGAAGCCTGTCAAGCGTGATTAAAGGCATGTGGGGCAAATTACAGGACAGCAGTCGGTCATAAAAGGTAGAGGGAATGGGCTTATCGATCGCTACCAGGGCTAGTCTTGTTCTCTTTGCCTTGTTCAAATTTATTCCGGGAGAACAGTGTTTCAATTTTGGCAATAAGTTTTCTTCTCCTTCGAGACAATTTTAATTTACGATAGGATTACAAAACTTTTATGAACCTTTCCTTTCTCTCGCGCGCGAATACCCAAGCACCAGTTTAGGCATGTTCAATTTTAATCCTTCTGTGCGCATTGGTCATGCAACCGGTTTGCTGGACTTCCTGCCCTCCGTTCTTGAGGTCACCGCACTACGTGTTGAGCGACTTGTGAATAAGCGCTTGAGCACGGCTCTGCCTGTGCGTCCTCAGGTGGAGGCCTTTGCTTTCGCTCTTCGATTTCCTATGCACCGTACTATTGACCTGGCCATGTAGTCCTCAAATGAAGACAATATTTCTTTCTCCCAGGGTCGGCCGCATGTCAAGAATGTAGTTAATAAAACCTTATGACCAATACTTCAGCTTTATGTAGCGCGGGCTTTTAAAATTGAGCTGCCATTTCTTCTCCCTTCCCTCCATTCGAATGTAAATTTTCTCATATATACATTGGTTGGTTCAGTGCACCCATTGGAAAGTGATTTTTATCCGTCATTGGGTAAGGCTTTCTTGTGAGACCGCTTAATGGTAAAACTTCCCCCACCCAATTTTCTTACGACAATCGTGACAAAGGGTTTGACGCTTGAGTAAGACTTCGGCAATGCGTGTTTACTGCGTGATAAGTGCATAATAGGAAATGAATTTAAGCTACTTGCAATTGTTTTACTGAACTAAAAATATATGTGAAAAGCACACTCAAAGAATAAAATCGACCAACTTACACTCCTATTGGTCAGCAAAAGTTGCCTATAGACTGGTAAGAATATTAGAACGATTGTTGATTAACATAATCAAGGAAGTATTTGGATAGGCAAAAATTTGGCCTACCGAAAATGCAGAAGTAGTTTTTTTTATTATTAATCACAGGCGAAAGTGCCCTCACAAGAAAGCGCTACCCATTATTGTTTATTTGAATTAAAATCATGAGGTCACTAGCGCACGACGCTGGCGCCGATTTGAAGGAAGTTTAATTTTGCCTACATTTTGCGACATGTTCAAGGACATTTCTCCACGGTTTATGTGACATATTTTACTCGTGGTGAATGGAGGACACTTCTTCTGAGAAATGTGGAATAATATTTTCAAAATAAAGCGCATCTTTTTCTCTCTATAGCAGACTACCTCCTCAGGGTACCTTGCAGTTCTTTCCTATTGCTGCCCCACTTTCGCCTCTGACCTGTTGCAACTTGTAGTTACTCTTGTCGCAAACCTCACTAGAACTTTGTCCTTTAACTAGTTTCCCTTTAGACTTTTCTTCAAATCTATTTGACCCTTTTTCGTGTGCAAAAGCAGGATTGAAATATTGCAAGTTTCTACTGTCGTTGGGATTAGAATCCATTTTTAAAATAATTTTTTACCCTGACCAGAGCTGTTATCTGGAGTACTTTTTTGAACCCTTGCTGCCAATCCGTCATTTCTTCCCAGATCTGGCCTTTCCTCCTGGGTCACTATCCCTGGTCAGCAACGGACGCACAGATCGCCGAGATTGACAGAATCACACGTGCAGCCTATGAAAAGGCCGTTTCCGAGTGGTTGGCTGTGGAGGCCATCATACAACAACGTGAAAAGGACGCAATTCTAGAACGTGAACGCAACTTCGTGGAGACAATGTCGCGAATAGAGGACTCTAACCAATCATCACCGTCCCCGAGTCCAAGGCAGAATGGTCGTTGGCCACCCCTTCATCGGGCTAATTCCAATCAACTTGGTCCCCAGTCCGACAAGCCTACTATGGAGGTTAGCGTGAAGTTTTCGTCTCAGTGATTTTCTAGTTCCGTAATCATGGGTTTGCTTTATTTTTACTCTAAGTTTTTTGACATAATTTCCTTTTTAATGGATCAGAGAACTTTCCTATGCGTTATGTCAGACTTAATGAGTTAGTTACTTGATCTGCGTGCATTTCGATCTTAAATTCAGGACTTTCAGAGCTGAGTCGCCTTATTCCATTTTCTACTTGCGTTTTGTGTATGGTATTCTTGTCAGTCTGCCCATTCCACTAAAAAAGCCTTCTAGCCGTTTATTGCGGACTTTTCGGCAAAACTGTCTTGTAGGGCCGCCTAAATATTTTCTCCTCCCGCCCAACTGTCTTACGGAATTGGTGGTTCAACATTTACTTCTTGGTTAATGAATGTGAATGAATATTCAGTTGTGTTGAAAATAATCAAAGAATATTAAATTAAAGCCACGTATAATTGTCTTAATGAGTTAAATATAATCAACTCCATCAATATAAATTCTTGCTGCTCAGGCAACTGAGGCCTATTCATGCAAATTTGACCTTATATTGGCGAAATTTAACGAAAAAGGGGAAATTCGGGCTACTGAAAATGTAAAAGTAGTTTTTTATTATAAGTTAAAGGCCAATAGGACCTCTAAAGACAGTCCTACCGACTTTTAATTTTGTTTTGTTTCATGGTATCTTCGCCAACAGCTCTGTTGAACTTCTGCATTTTTAGCCGTATTTTGCCCATCGGCCGCATATTCGGAGACTCCACGCCCTCCATATTCGGGTTTATTATTAACAGCTGTTCTTAGTGATACTCATTATTGCAGGTCAGCTCTTCACAGAGCATGGGTATATTTTGAGTATTTATAGTAATCTGTTTGCGCTCTCTCATGGACTCTGTCTTTTTGTTTTCCTTTTCAGCTGATAACTGATGCTTGGAATAAAATGAAACGGAAACTCTCGAACGTGGTACGTACTGTCTTCCTTATTTAAAGTATGCTTGCTTTTCTCGTTTTTGCTCGGACTATATTTTGTGCGCGTACAGTTCGCTTGCCGAAGGATTTTCTTACCCCCATTTTATCACTCCTACGAGATCTGGCTTCGCGCCATCCTGTAATGTCCGCATCCTTAAGCGACCGCCATCAAGGTGTGGAACCCCCAATTCTGCAAGTATGCTTTTTTTCCGGGTTGCAGAACAATATTTGTATATTCACCGCCAAACCCGCTGGGGTTGTTAAGATACAACCGAACACTGGAAGGAGTATTTTGTCACTCTGAACCCGCGGACTTTTTTTGATCCGGTAAGGATGAGTCATTTGGCCGCCTAAACAGGACAAGGGCCTGTGTACTCATAATAGGGGCCGTGGGATAAATTTCAGGCAGGTTAAAAATCCCGTGCCCTTACTCTAACATAAAACTAAACCTAACCCTTAATCTCAGCCCTCGTCTTAACCTAAATCCTGTGGTTAACTCGGTAAGGGTCCGTTATAAACATCAACATAGTTTGCTATGCATGACTAACTACTTATTTCGTTGTGTATTTCATTAAAACTTTCTTCATTTAACTTTTAAAAAGAGACTACTTCTTTTCGTCGCTTCATAACGTAACGCATTTACTTACATTCCGCTGCTGCTTTCTTGTTTGTTTGTTTGCAAATAAACTGATCGGCTCCCGGATACCACTGTTCACCACCACATAAAGCAACTAATTGTTGCCAATTTGATTATTTTATTTGCTCAGTTCTTGTTTCCTAATGGTTGTTGTTATTTCTATCACAGCGGTTTATTCAATTGCCTTCGATTTGCTCATACTTACTTTTTGTTTATTTTTCAATTATCGTGCATTACTTGGCATACATTAGGTTTTTCAATATGTGTGCCTATTATTTTTCGCTGCTGTTAGAGGACGCATTCGTCTGTGCGTTTCCAGCTTTGCGAATCGCTTTAGCCAAACTGATCCACCGCATCAAATATGGGTTGGGCAGGTCATTGCACTTGTTTATAGACCTGGGGCCCGTGAACCATGACGTAAGCAACTCGCGGCTCACACAATTGTCATCTCTCGCGAGAAGTTCGGCCTCATCAACTTGGAATGTGTGGCCGGGTGCCCTTGAATGGGTCTA